GTTCTTTTGCGTGCGGGAGGGTCAAGGCGTAAGAAGGCCCACCAGACATTTCAGAATACAGTGCGCTAACGCAGTCCTAGAGTTGTTAGAAAACCGCCTACCTTAATCGTACGGTCACCACTGGCAGATACGATGAACTTCTCATCAAAGTCGACCACATTGACAGCTGCCCTGTGTCCCGCGAGCACCTGGCTTTTAGGCACTGCCCCCTCCTTTTTATCACACTTCACAGGCTTTCGGTGTAACATGAACTGTCTTGCTTTTATAACTACCCCTCTCCCCCCCTCCCCTCCCCTGCCCCCTCACCATGCACCCACGTCTAAGACGAATGGCTCCTACTCGATTTACCTATCAAATGTTACCCTTCTATGTCGATACTTGATTGGACAGTTACTTTATCTTATCGATAGGCAATAACGGTTTGCAGTTAAATAATAGGTCGCGAAATTATATGACGTCAATAAGTTCCGCTAGTCTCGTGACCTTTACCTTGTCCAAATAGGTAGGAAGTTTAAAAGTAGCACAAATACGTTGTTTTGCGTGTGGGAGGGGGTCAAGGCGTAAGCGGGTGCACTGGTCATTTCAGAATACAGTGCGCATACGCAATCCCAGAAGACCGCCTACCTTAATCGTACGGTCACCACTGGCAGAGACTATGAACTTCTCGTCAAAGTCGACCACATTGACAGCTGCCCTGTGTCCCGCAAGCACCTGACGCAGCTGGATGTCCTGTGGATAAGGTCCCATGTCCCACACAGCGATACTGCGATCCTAAAACCGACAAGCAAGAAGGCAGAATATAAGGGCAAGCCAAAGTTGGGTTTTTTGGACGCCAGAGAGGCGTGAAGGGGTCAAAAGTCTCAGAGGGATCACAAGTACAACAGCCGGTATGATTTGAATCTTGGCCAGCAAATCTCGCTGCCTCGACCATAACACAGCCACAAATCATGAAGCTGCAAGTAAGGGCCACAACTGCAACCCGAACCGGCCGGCAGCAAACAGAAGGGGTTATGCGCAATTCAAGCACAAGCGAAATTACAACGATTATAAAAAAGGTTACCTAAGAAGCTTTTTTTAACAAACATAGGATTCTGCAAGGAAACAATTCTTCGTTGGACGTAAGGTGCACAGAAATAGTTATATTCACAAAACCCGTGTGCGTACAAACACGCTTAACAAATGCAGAATGATCAAATGCGAGTACGAAGTAAGAAAGGATGATGCTATTTTAAGAAGTAATCTAAAAGGGCGGGTGGATCGGCTACATCACAGTCAAGGCGTCAGATGCCTCCTTTGAAGAATGAACAAATGAGCAAATTAGCAAAAATGAAATGTGGTTGCCTACCGTCTTTCAATTTTTTTCTCAAATGCCAACATAATTGCATAATAGGTCTTTAAAGGATTTTGGTGGCTATCACAGCATAAAATCCCCGAAGACTGCTGGGTGGAGGGTTGGTAGAGGACTAAAATAACGACAGAAATAGCCGGAAAGCAGAACAAACAAGAGCTTACGGCAGCTCTTGTAGGAAATGCGTACAAAAAAGAACTACGCAATTCGCGTCCTTGTAGTGAACTGCATTACCTAATTTTACGGACTATGACAGCATGCATAAATACCACAGACGTATGCGCTGTCACTTGACGACACATACACAAGCAACAACAGAAGAAGAAACGAAGAGGAGACGAGAATTCGCGTAAACCCTTACTATTATGATGTTTAGCGTGGCCAGGGTAAACAACGGTAAGCTGGCGGGGGTAGTCTGCGCAACCACGTCAACAGAACGCAGTTGTGGTCTACTAGACAGGATGCCAGGACACAAGGCCAGAAGTGACCTCAGGCACGAGACGGGGTGGCGCCTCTCTCTCCAATGTTAAGGCGGTGGAAACAACAAACTTT